TGACATGTAAATGAGTGGCCGGGTATTCTGCAGTTGCTCCAATTATGCAATAACGATCATTTCAGGCATTTAGAATCAACTTCGAAACCAAAATATTAAAATTCATTGCAAAATTCTTGGAAATACAAATATTCAGCTGGCAGAACAAAACCTACTACTAAACGATTGAGATTTCCTGATGTACATGGAAACGCGAAGGCCGAGGTGCACATGATCATCCCGAGTGCAACAGACTGTGGATGCCAGCCTCAAACTATGCTAAAATGGCGCATCAAATGAACAAGACAATGGTCATCAGGCACACCTTGATCTTGATGATGCCAGGAAGCAGATCTTTGCAGGGTTACATTTTAAAGAAAATTGGCCAACAACCCGTGGAAAAGCCATAACTCGAGAACAATTGATATTGTTTTGTGTCCTTGGAACCCCTTGCGCAGAACCACCTACGCACGGCCCAAGACGAGGAACTTGTACTAGCAGTGCACTCTGGGATATCGTTATCTGCTCAGAAGAAGACGCCTTGATTTTTTCGTTCGTCTGAGATCTTGGCTAGGTAATAATCATCTCGGAACTGAATCTTAGAGCGTTTAAATCGTTCAATCGCTTTCTTATGATGGAAGATTTGGGGAAGTGAGTGAAACTAGTGTTTGTATAGTCGTGGAATTGAGAAAATACAAAGTTGTTTTTGAAATTTGTAGCGTGCAGGCGCTCTGCGCTATCACTTTGCTATGATTTACACTGCGCTTCGATTTAGTTGCCGTCGTTCATCTGGATTTGAGGTATGATTGCTAACTACCAAAAATGTGCGTTTGTCTCTCAGGGAATCAGAAGATCAGGCTGGTGTGAATGAGATGCAAGAAATAAATTCTCTAAAATGGTTGACAAAGAAGGTTTTCGAACAGACTTCTCGAAAACTGAAGAAAAAGCCATCTCAAACGCGTTTGCACCTGGATTTGGAACAGGTTGTGTCTTCTTTGAAAAGTCAATCTGCTAAAGATACCGTAAGCAGTCAAATAATTGTGTTTTCATTTATTTCACTGTCTCGAAAGAACATATTTCATGATTAGGAATATAAACGTATTACCACAAATGTCGTTACACGTTTGTACTACTATGATTGTTACGAGCTTTTATTAAATATAAAAAATGCAACTCAGTTCTCTCTGTTAGCAGTTAAAAGGAATGTAGGGGAAAAGGGCCTGCATAATTAAGGTCTCTGACTATTTCCCTGAAATGCAAACTCCCTCACAGTAAAGGTAAAATTTCATCATGATGATATGTGATTGGCCAAAGGCTACATTACACGTGTTGTGTAAACTGCCTTTTGTTGCAAGAAATCAAGCTAGATTTAAAGTACTTTTACCTGAAGTTGATTTTGACTAATGGTACACAACATTTCATTTCATTCTGTGCCTTATCATTTCTGTTGAATATTCTTTAACCACTTTAAATTTTGTATGTTTATTGAAGGTCTTGAGGCAGGATTCTTCAGCAGGTACACCCAAAATGTGAGTTCTATGCATGCATTCCCCCATAAAATTAATGAACTGTAGGCTGTTGGATCTGCACTGCACATAAAATTGCTTAGAATTACATGTAAAATTGTATGGCAGTATTGCACGAGGTAGATATTCTTACCTTTGGTCAAGAAGGATTCTTAAAGGATGTGAGATTTTTTTACAAAATAGAAAGCTTCCTTGTCAGTTACTTCACTTTCGATCAGTATGTTTTTAATGATATTAATGATAGTAATTATTGCTATTGTTAAATTACTATGTTTTGCAGCAAAATGACACGTAAGAGAACTCCAACCAAATTGACAAATAATGAAGTTAAAGAATTTTACAACTTCATCTTAAACAAGAGAGATGGAAGAAGAAAACTGAAACCAAAACTGAAAAACCAAGATGGAGGAATGGATGGTGTAACAGATCAGAGCTCAGAAGCTTCTAGTACAACAGCAGCTAGCTCGGCAGAGTGTGCATCAACAGATCTCCCTGTTGCTGGATTAACAGCAGGTCCTCAGTTGCCAGCACCTGTAATGATTACTGTTGATGCCCAAGGCAATCCAATTCAGTTACCTTTGATGACACCACAGCTTCTGCCATTAACCGGTGGCACACAGCCTGCTCTTGTGTTTTTCTTGGGGCCATCTGGCATGGTTCCTTCAGGAGATTCTCCACTTGTTTCTAATGCTAGTTCTAATGCACCACTTGGAAATGCAGTGTACTTCACTCAGCCAGTTACTCTGAATGTCATTCCTCAAGATGCATCCTTAAATGGAGGAGTTATAGAGAAAGCTTTGGAACTTGCACAGTTTCAATCAAATCCTGAACAAAGTGATCCTCAGCTGCCATCACAGAACATAACAACAGAGTTGATGATCTCAGAGGGAAATAGCTCTATTCCCTCCAATATAACTAGTTCCAATTTGCAAGGATCGTTTCCCATTGATCACTCATTTGGCTCTATGCCAAATATTTCTCAGAATGTAGTCATAACACAGTCAGTTGCTGCTGGAGAAAGTGTACCCATTGAGAATGTATCAGAGTCTGTTACTGTGAAAACTTCGCAGATCATGCAAAATCAGGGTTTGTTTGATTTGCGGCCTATTTTGGACGAAACACGAGCACAATTGGCAGATTCAGCAGATACCAGTACAGAGACTGCACCAGAAAACTTTGCAGATGATGTACCTAAACTTGTTTATAGGAAAAAAGTCTTACAAATTCGTGAAGTAATGACTCAGACAGGTGGTGAATCAGAGGTGTACATTGTCAGTGAAAGAAAACTGGATTGTGAGGAAGATACACCTGTTGATGGGCCACTAGAAAATGAAAATACAGACAGTAACTCAAAGAAACCAGGTTTGTTTTGTTATTGTACCTAGTAATATGGGAACTTTGTTTCTTTGTTTAGGCAACAGAACAACTAAAACATATCAAATAATAGATGGGAACCCCACCTGTTCATGTACTCTGCACTCTATACCCTCTATCAAAGCCAAGATCATAGATCTGATATGAATTTTTGGGATTTCATAATGTATATCTGGTCATTGACCGAAGGCTGAATTTCCTCTTTTCTCAGCAAGAGTAAAGCAATTTGGGTGTGACAAATGTGAGAAGAAATTTTACACAAACAATCTCCTAAGACGCCACCAAACCAGTCACCAAGAGGCAAGACCTTTTAGCTGTGAGGTAACATACTGAAATTGAGTTTTTGGTGTGAATAATAATTTATTTTTTCACAGTTGGCAAATGCAACATGGGAAGTCCAGGTGTATTTACACTGTACACCTGTTTCTTTGTTATGCTTATTAAATTAAGACTACCTGGTACATATGCCAATAATAAGACTGCAGATACTAATTATCTTGTTTAAGCAGACATTTTTACTTGATACTCTCAGAAAACGTAAAATTAGTGTTTATTTCTAAATGAAAATTGTGAAATGAAAATTGTTATTTTTGTATTAAGCATTGTAATTGAACAAAATAAAAATTTCATGATCAGATGATGTTTTGCAAGGTACGGTTGAGAAATTACACAAACCCTTAAAAAGCAGTTACAGCCATTTCTGTGCTCACCAGCTATGATATTTTTCTGTGAAAACCTCAGTGTTGGTCCTTGAGTGTGAAAAATAAGATTTCAGCACAACCAATTTCTGTTTCTTTCAGGAATGTCAGAAAGGATTTAGAACTTCTAATGAGCTCACTATCCACAAGGCCATTCATGTGGAAGTCAAGCAATACAAATGCGAATTCTGTGGAAAAGAGTTTAGGACTAAAGGATGTATTAAGTCACACATCAAGTATCACATTGGTGAGAATCAGATTTTTGTTTGTTATTAACCCTTTGATTCTCCTATCAATCTGCTACAGTACATCCACTGTATTTCCTTGTAAATTAGTTTTGAGAATTTGGTGTTAGAATAAGGTAATAACTCTTTCTTGATAAGATTGAGCACTTTCATTGGTTGTTTGCCAGTTAAGATATGGATATTATAGGGAGAAGTGACATATTAGTCACTTGGAGTGAAGGGATTAATAGTTTTTTGTTTTTTTTTGGATAACTATTTGCGAAAGTACGATTGTTGATGGAAAGTAGTTCTTACCAATTGTAACTGCTGGATTTGACTGATAATACATATGAAAGGAAAAATATTTCTTTCAACTTCATCATCACAACACTGAAAAGCCATTTTCACCAAATAGTCTTTACAAATGCTAGGTTGTTGCACATATCAACAGTGAAGTTTTGAAACAAACAAAGTCAAGCAATGATAGCATATAAAGTTTGCATCAATCACATACAACAATGATGGAACTTGAAACTTGGGTATTAATTTGTCAGCATTAGTGGTCTATCAACTTAAAGTGACTTTGATGGTCGTTTAACCCTTAAATCTTTAATAGTGACTGGTTTTTAATTCTCCTTACAGTATCATGCTTGAATCAAATGGAAAGGTCATGAGATTTAAGGGAGTGATCATTAATTTTGGAATTAAACAAATTTCCTTGTGACTACCAGAAATTTAAAGAGAACATTGTGAAGAATAGGAATAGTAATTTTAGAGTTTGTAGGATTGATGTGCCTTTTGTTTCCAGGTGTAAATCCAGAGAATATAGTAAGGTATCATTGCGAAGAATAAAATCTTGGTTAACTTATCTTTTAGAACATTTGTATTCACTGATCATCTAATTTTGATCCTGTATTGTTTTTTAAGGAGACAAAAGGCACAAGTGCACAGATTGTGGCAGAGCATTTGTCAAAAGTGCAGATCTCAAACGACATATGGCAGGACACAGAAATGAGAAGAAGTTTGTGTGTGAAGATTGTGGTTCAGCCTTTACGCGTCGAGATAACTTGAAAGCACATAGACTCCTGCATACCAGGGAGTCTGTGGTTACATGTGACTTGTGTTCCAAGGAGTTCATCAATGCAGTTTACTTGAAGAGACATATGCACATACACAAGCAGGCTAAGAAGAAACCCTACGAGTAAGTCAGGTCTCCATGTATGCAGTTGTAGGTAACATCTAAGAATTGAGATTTTATGTGAGGTACTACAACAACACAATGCAAGCACAGCCACCCATGGAATTGCTGGAACAAGTAATTCAAACTTTGAATGTTTCAGGTGCTTGAGATAATCTATAGATGTAGGCCTTTGTACTTCATGGTCTTTATATAAGACTTGGTCTTTTTTTTTATAAGTGCACAGTTTTTCTAAGTTATTTCCCAAGATACAGTGTAACACACAAATGACACGTTTGCATTGAAAATTCAATTGGACACATGTTAAACAACTTCCCTCTGATGGGAAATGTTGATGTTTGAAATGATCTCATAGTTGTAAAACAAGTATCTCACTAGTTGTAATGCTAGGATAATCTGAAACCATAGAAGAACTTAAATCTGTTCATTAAGTTGTTCTGTAGTTCCAACATATGAGTTAACAAATAAAGAAGTAAGACAATTTTGAAATGAATAAGTTGTCAAAACTGTGGAATTGTTTGGAAAATTTTGTAGCTTTAAAATTTTCCACTTCCTGTGCTTTACTTATGCAGGTGTCAGTGGTGCCCAAAGACATATGAACAGCTGGAGGGATTGAGACGACACATTCGCCAACATGTTGGGGATGAAAAATTTGTTTGTAAAGATTGTGGAAAAAAGTTTATAACCAGCATCCAACTCAAACGACATCTTTGGCTATCACATGATCAAGACAGTCCTTACAGAAGATCTATTTTGTAGAGACCTAGGATATGAACCTTGTGAAATGATACTTAGTGATTTTTTGAATTTACATGTACCACCTGCACATAAAGATACACCATTGAACAAAAAGAACAATTACTTTGATAATAGTGATAAATTGCTGTTTTGCACCAAATTTAAAACCCTTTGCAGAGGTTATCATAAAGTGTTACAAGTTTGTTTTCCTTACTCAGTACATAGTACTAAAAATGGACCACCAATATTTAATCCTTTGGAGGGTGCCATTACCTCAGTACATTTACATCCTATGGCATAACGCTTTCTTAGACAGGCAAGAGTAGTTCACCAATTACTAGTTTCTGAAAGATTTTGATACTAAACAAACAATATACTCAATAGTACAGTATTTCTATTTAGATTAAAATTAAATGGGAACGAATTCAAACAAGTTCAGTACTGTAAGTAACACTTCAAAGAATAAAACTTGCATAATGCTTTCTTTCTTGTTTTCTTTATTATTACATTTCCACTAACTCACATCTCATGGAGCCACATATTGGTCTGTGCCACTTTTTCCAGTCCTTCTCATGCTATCTTGTAGGGCCATAATACAAGGAATTTTTTTTATGTGTTTCATATGGTCATGATAGGTAATTTAGTGTTAACAACTGGGTTGAAAATGTAAATTAGCCACTGTAAAGGGTAAAAAAACTGACATTTTGAGCGTTAGCCCTTCGTCAGAGCGATAGAAAATGATATAAATGATATAAATGTATACACTTACTGACTGAATAGTAAGGATACAAATATGAAAAATTTTCCCATTCCCATTTCTTTCTTGAAAATTTGTCGTTCTCTTTTTCCACTTAAGACTTAAAGCTTCGCTGAAACAAAACACTTCACTGGCCACATGTCACCATTATCAAGTGCAAAATTTTACAACACATGAAAAAGTTGAAGCAAAATGAACAGTTCCACTGATGTAATTTCAAAAGTTATATCTTTATTTACAGTATATCGTTCTTAGCCTCTCATTCCTTGCATTTGACAATAGTGACATTAAAACCTAAGCATCTCATTCTATATAGCAACTTTTTGCTCAGCCTAGTAAGGCTGGAGTGATCAAAGGCCAAATATTTTCCTCTCCAACCTGCAGTGACTCAGTCAATAAGCATATCATTATTGTAAGACAGCTGTTCTTCCTCTTCCTTCTTCTTTGTTTCATTTTTTTACATGAGGCCCTAATCACATTATCACATACAACCCCTCTATGGAGATTTTTCATTACGTTCTTCATTAATAAAGCTTATAAATGGGAGAATTACTCCCTGTTGAACTGAAAAGTTTGTGCCACCAACACCTGCCTTAGGAGAGTAATTTTGTGGCTGATGGTAAGGTCTGTTCTTGAGCAACTCGTGTCAGGAGGAAGAGCAATTTCACCCCAGAGTAGTTTTTTTTCTTGTGAAGGAGAGATGCAAATCAGAAACAAAGCAAAACTTGCCAGTTTCTTAAGTGTTAACATATGCCACATCTGACTTTCTTAGTTCCATCATGACATGTAAAACATTCATTTGAGACACATCAGGCAGAGAAAACCTGGGAGATTGCTACTCCAAAAATGGGCAGAAAAATAGTGTGGCAGAAAGGTTGAAATTTCTCCACCAACTTCAGTACACCTCTTTCAAAACTGCTTTAATAATCTTTATCTGTGATTCCATACCATGTACAATTTTGAATCTCATGAATGACTCAGACTTCTTCAGATAATTTGCTAGAGTCTTTTATAAAGCCATCTGCCTGCTTGGCCTCTTGAATAAGCTGCTCCACTGTTCTTTCATATTCAGCTTTTCTATCTTTGATAAAAGACATTTGGGGAAAGCGAGGTCGAGTGGAATAGGCAGGAAGAAGCTTCCTAAGGGTGAAAAGTAAAGTAATACTCACTCATAAATCTAGCAGGTCCACCTTTTTGGCAAAGTCCGTAGCACAAGTAAAAAAAATTTAATTTAATTTACATTCAGAGCTGCTATGAGGCAGAAAAAGTGCTTAAAACATTCTAGCTACCTGATGTGGTCCCTGTTTTCATTTAACAACATCTGAACACTCTGTTCACTGCCTTGTAATTCATCTGCAACTCTCCAGAATACAGAGGCACTTCTAAGGTTTGGAGTCATTTTAACCTGGGTGAAAAAGTTCAAAATTAATTTCAATAAAATACATATTTATCAAATTATACCTGCCTCATGTAAAAATTAACATAAACCACAAAACAAAGAAAAAAGCAGGGAAATTGTGGAAGAGAGAAAGACAGCAAGCACAACAAATCAGAAAAATTTCACACCCTGTCTTTGACCCTGAAAAACCACACCCAGTTTAGTGGCATTTCCACTCCTGGAGCTAAATAAATAATCCAGCACATATTACTTAAAACTGACTTGTGCTCATAATTGGGACAGAACAGGAATTTTACTAACAGTACCCGTGTAATCTCCACATGGAAATTTCCCAGGACAGGACGCAGAGCAGGTTCCATCTCTGGACCATTCAGCACATCCTGAATGACTCCAAGCAAAATGTCAGACACTGCACGCTGTCTGACAGTGTCTGGGATGTTTGGTGCATCATCTCCCTTTAAGGGGTCCAACTCAAAGACATCAATCTGTTTCCATGATGGTGACAGCTGGGTTTAATAAAGAATCAAAGTGAACAATGATCATAAAAATATATTTGCACTGGTAAATTATCATTAGACCATAGCCAAAGTGGCATAAAACATTTATAAATTGTTTAGTTCTTTGCTATGGAAAATGAAGGGGATGCTTATAAAAAACACTTTGGTTCTGCTCAGACATAACAATATCTTTATAGAACTAAAATGGCAGCCAGGCATACTATTTTCATTTCAACATTATAGAATCATTACCTTCCTCCCTT